AGTGCACCAGAGTCCTGCAAGATGAAAGATTCCACTACAGTTGTAATAAACACATGTGAGGACAACAGGCTCTAACTCTTTCCATTACTTTAAAAAAAAACAAAACAAAAATAAACACCTACAACAACTTATGGTAATGTACGGTAACCACAGACAGACACAAAAAAATTTAAAATTACATTTTAGCTCTAAACAAGTTTACTCTCTACAAGACTAGTGTGAACTGGAAATGCAGAATTTTCTGTAGTTAAGCTGTATCTTTGCCAGCCTTGTCAATTTTCTTTTCCCCAGCAGTTGGTTCTTGCTATAAAATGCCATGGAGCGCAATACATGCCACAGGCAACTAGTAAATTCCATGACTTACCACTTTAAATTTACTGCTATTAAATAGCAACGTATTACACTAGCCACTTTTACATACAAAACAAGTCTTATTGTTTATCAGCTGAAGCTATGGCCTCTCCCGTCACTCTGCTCAGCAGTACACGGTATTTAACTAGAGACTGGCTCTGTCTGAAGGGGAAGACAAAATACGTTTTCTCTGACCTTGACCCCTCAGTCCGTACAGGAGTGCACGGCAAGAGACAGTTCTTGAACTGGTTTCTGTCCTTGATGTGAGATTCCAAGCCACTGACAAACTGCTTCACAACCTGCAAAGCAGAGAGAAGTTATCCACTTCCTGAAAAGACGCCCTGATCAACTGCTGTCTTTTAGGACGTTCTTTGTGAGCGGATGACGAGAACAGGGAAGAGCTAGCCAGGGAACTGCAGACAGAAATTGTGATGGAAGGAAAGCTGGATAATAAACGAACTCTAGTCAAAACCATTTCCAAAAGGAAACACTGGTTGTTCTCCAGAATAACTCTGAAGCAACAGTCTCACATTTTACTTTGCTTTCCCCCTGTTCTGCTGAGACAGCAACATTTTATGTGACCAGAGCTGCACCCAAAAAAACATTTGCAGGATTCAAATCACTGGCCTCAGGGCTTTCATGATGGGGTTGCTGACTGGAGAGGAGCACCGCATCGTGGCAGTTTTAATGCTGCCAGTTTCCAGCCAACACAAAATCAAATACAGCTTCCCCTAGAAAGTTAAGCAAGTGATTTTTCTCCCTTAAGAGTCTTTCTCCATTGAATAATATTGCCAGTTAATTACTTTGACAGGGCAAGGTGGTGGAAGTGCAGCACTTTTGCTTGTAATTGTATGAAACCAATCTCAGAGCATGCACACCAAGGCTGGTTTAACAGAGGCACAGGCCAGTCGTCTTTTTCTGACCATTCAGACCTAACAGCTGAGAAGAAACAGACGTAGCAGAAGGACAATGGGACCAAAAGGCTAGAACAGCAGCACTGGGAGAATTGGAGTCTGAACCACAGAAATCCAAGATAAGCCACTCTTCCATTCTATGATTCTGTGACACTGTGTTGCATACTTTTGTATAGGACTAGCAGGGACAGGCAGCTGCGTCTGTGCCTTTTGCTGCACAGCAGTCTTAAAGGTGGCTCCTGCCAAAGCACAGTCTGTTACTTACGCCTGGGTAAGCAGGGTGCTTCTCCAGGGCCAGGCAGAGCTTCTTCTGGAAAGCCATTTGATCTACAGCTAAGGAGAAAGTTGAAAATGAAAAGAAAGACCCAGACACATTTTATCCACACAATTTCACAACAAAAGCTGCACTAAGTACAAGCTCTCAAGCCCACCCACCAACACTTCTGCGTTTGCTCTACTGAGAAGTCCAGTTAGCAAAAGCCTGAGTGGTATCACCACGTGTGCTTTCTCCAGTCTGGCCGAGAGCAGCTAATAGCATCAAAAAGGCTTAACACACGAACTCCTGAAGGCCTTGCCTAAGCCAAAAGGCAACACGACAAGTTCGTTTTCCTGTTTCAGAGCTCCTGCCTTGGTAACTCAATCCTGTAATCACAGAGGCAGTCTACTCTTACTCCACATACCTCCAATAATCTTTCAGAAGCCTTTCAATTTAGCACGTATACACCCAAAAAGCTGGTGTCATGAGTTTAGCTGATGCACTGAATTCAGCCGGAACTGCAATTCAGGTGGTATATAACAAATCAGAGGGCAGATGAAGGTTTGCTTGAACTTCGCAACAAGCCAGCTCAAGCATTTTAGCTCTGCAAGTGAAACACATCTGTACTTTGTACCAGTCATCTTTGCAAGTTTTCAGATACAAGCAGAGCGCACAAGTGTTAAACCCATACCTATTTCATTCTGTCCCTCCCCAGTCTTCAGTGCAACTCCTGATGTTCTAAGGAGCTCTTCAAAGACTCCCTCACTCTCCACTCTATCATGGGCAGAGGCCTTTTTCTTATCAGAAATCCGTGACTTCTTGGTTTCTGAGAAAAGAAGACATGCTACATCAAAAATATTCTACAATAAAAATAGCAAGGATCCTTCATATGAACAACTAATTCAAAATTAACCTTCTAGTAAGAAATTAGAGGAACACAGGAATACACTTATGGGACCAGACCAGCAAAGCATACTGCTATTTGACAGCAGCCATTAGCCGGCCCAGGTGCCAGCGCGCAGATCCTATAAAGCAGTTACCCCTGCGGCACGACACCAGACAGAAACATTTCCTACTCACCCCTTTTAGTGATCCATAACCAAAGGCAGTTCAGATACACCTTCAGCGGCTTACTCTCATGGGAGACACAGCCACTAACAGATTACGAGCAACACTAGAGCACGTGCTTTCCTCTGCCCTGAAAAGCACAAATTTAATCTAGGTTCCTCCACTAGAGCTATCTCTTAGTTACCCACTCATCTGCTAAAGCAAAAAATAACTTCCCTCCAGCTACGTAGAGAGCTTATTTTGGTTTGATTTATAGATAACAGTTTTGATCCAGTGTGATTAATCTGCAGACTCTGAAGGCAGTGAAGCTCAAGATGATAAACACCGATCAAAGGTACGAGAACTAAAAAAAGATACGGTGCTGCTTTTAGCATTGTTGCTTTATTGCTATGTATTTAAAAAACCATTTAAAGGTCAACAGTGTCATTAACAGTTAGCATTATCAAAACTGTCATTTTCCTTGCTGCAGAACATCACCTCCACCAACAGGTCTCCACTCCCCCTAAGACCGTACCTGAGCACCGGCTTGGCAAGTCTGTGCCGCAGCTCTCTGCGGAAGCGTCAGTTTTAGACAATTTCCTCTTTGAAACCATGGTAACAAAACCTTTGCTGTTGCCTATAAAAATGCAGGAAAAAGACAAGTGAGCAAAGCAGATGTGACTTTAATTCAGGGTTTTTTTACGCAAATCTAGAGTGTATCAGCGAATAGTGAAGGGAAATGCTCCAGAAACTGAAATTGCTCAACAAAAGGCAGATTGCCTGGTCAACCAGTGCCGCACTGCATTGTTCTGCTGTACAGGCTGAAATTTTAGAACTTGTCATATTTAAACAGCGCAGTACATCCTGTTTTCTGAAATTCAGTTTCTCAGAAAACAAGGCTTAGCTTTTCTTTCAGACGCCAGGCAAATCAAATAGCAAGCTCAACCGAGTAACTAAGGTAACTGCGGTGACCCCAGCCTGCGGTGCTCTCCCCGCACCCGGAGAAAGCCACCGAGGCCTCCCAACGCAGCACGCACAGGCCAACCCCAGTACCGCTGCAAGGAGGGCTCTGTCAGCACGAATCTCCCTCCCGCCCTCTCGTCCTCCTCTGGTGGGTGGCAGCGACCGATACGAAAAAATAAAGCTTGGCTCGCCTTTAAAACTTAAAAAATAGTATTTAAAAGAGACGTTTGATCATCAGTTTCAACTGTTTAGCCAAGGCCGCGGAAATGAGTTGCGGAAAACCCCGGAGTGAAGTGGAATACCTGAAGGAAAGCCAGAAGCCCGGCCTCCAGCAGCTGGGCCGGACGCGGGCGCGGCCTGACCGCCTCCCCCTCACCTCAGCGGCCGCGCGCGGAGGCT